GACCTGAGTCTAAGTCGGATGCTTAACCGATTGAGCCACCCAGGCACCCTGACATACAGCTATTTTAGAAATGATACATTCACAATACCTCCAATTCCAGTCCATCTCACAGGATTCTTTTGTGACTTTATTTTGTATGTCTGTGCGTTTTCATTGAGATTCTGGCTCTCAACGACAATCAACACATTTGCTAACATCCATAATACATCTAAAATGGTTTCAGACTTGCTTTGCCTGCACCACTAAAACAACAATAAAACTAAACAACAACAACAACAAAATACTAAAAAAAAGGCTCAGGATTTGTCTGCAATTCTTTTCCAACTCAGTCCCAACCTGTCAAAGTCTGAACACAAATACTGTGTTCACAAGTTACTTGAATTGGTTTTCCTTTAGCATGTGGATGGTATTCATTTGAAATACAAACAGATTCATTTATTTCAGTTGGCTTGTAGCTTTAGGTTCATTTTCCCTTCCTTATCTTTATTGATTTCTTTGTACATGTGTTGAATGTGTAGAATATTAACATGCACCCAAAAGTAAAAATTACATAAAAAGTAATTCTCAGAGAGGTGTCTCTCCATCCTGTATCTTTTCCACCCTGTGTCCACCCACACCATAGATAACCAGTTTCATCACTGTGTCGTCTTCCTTTGGTGTCTTTCATGAGAGATAAACAGATATATAACTGCTCTTGTTTACTACACATTGCATATATGCTCTTTTGAACTCTGCTTTTTTTCCTTGGTAATATCTCCTGGAAATCACTCCATATTACTCAGGAGGAATTAAGGTAAGTTTCCAATATTTTCTAATTACAAGCAAGACTGCAATACTGTGCATATATATTTTAATACTACTAGAGGCATATTTTCAGGGTAAATTCCCAGACATGAGATTGTCAGGTCAAAGGGTAAATGATATATTGATTTGTTAGAACAGCCAAATCCTCCTTCATAGGGGCACCATTCTGCATGCCAGATAAGAATGACTGTTTCAAAACATCCTCACCAACAGAGTACCATCAAGCTTTTGAATTTTTGCTCATCTGATGGGTGAGAAATGGTATTGGCATAGTTTTTCTAAAAAAAAAAAAAAAAAAAAAAAAAAAAAAAAAAGCTTTGTTGAGGCAGAATTCTTCTATAGTAAATTTCAATATAGTAAAATTTACTAATTTTAGGTATACAGTTTGTTAACTTTGTTTAACCCAAGGTTATAAAAGTTCCTTCTAGGATTTAATTGTTTTAGTTCTTATGTTTATATCTATAATAATTCAGTTAGTTTTTTAGTATGACATGGGGTAGGGGTGGAGATTCATTTTTTTTCCTCATACAAGTATTTCCTTAATCTATCCCCATGTATTGTAATGAGCATCTTTCCCCCAGGTGAATTGTCTGTGAACCTTTTCGAATACCAAATGATTCTAAGTGTGGGTCAATTTCTATCAGTGTCACATTATGTTAGCTTCAGGCTTATAGCCAGGAGGAGAAGTTTGTCTGATTATGTACACTCTTCCAATTCCTTTGGTAGTTACTTATTTTTTGATGTCAGGTTTTAAAGCTGTTTTCTGTTGGAAGATGTCTTCAGCCAGTTTTTATACTCTATCATTACTAGAAGCAGGAAGTCCTATCTGAGTGTAGACTTAATTGGTATTTCTCTTATTATGAGAAAGCTTATCTTTTCCTATAATTAAGGGACATTTTCATAATGTTTTTTGGGTGAACCATCTGTTCATGTCTTTGCCAATTTTTCTACATCATTTTTTGCTTCTCAACTGTTACAACTTCTATCTGGTTATTACTTGTGTACATGAATACAATTGAGTATTGCATTTTGATTTTATATCTTGCTAGCTTGTGAATTTTTCATTGAATGAATATTATCATTGATTGTCAGTGGTATTCTGGATAACTATTATATCATCTGTAAGCAAATGGTTTTACTTATTTCTTTTCTAATTCACATACCCCTAGTTGTTTTTCTAGTCTAAATGCATTTTCTTTTTTTGTGTGCTATTTATATCAGGTTTAGGCACTGATGTTATACTAGTTTCAAAAGAAGAACTTGGAAATTTTCTTTCATTTTTTTTTTTATCCTCTGAAGCCACTTATGTAGTTTTGGGATTGCCAAAGGTTTGGTTAAATTCCCCTGTAAAACATCTGGCCTGGTCCTTTTCTAGAGGGTAGTTTCTTGATAACTCTGCTTCTTTTATGTAAATTGATCTGTTAAGCTTTCTATCTCTACTGAGGTCAGTTTTGACAAACTATATTTTCCTAAGAAAATCTTTTAAAAGAGCTTTTAAAACATCATTAACATGATCCCATTCATGTTAATTGAAATAACTATGATGGTCTCAACTCAGTCATATTTTGTTGAAATTATTGTGTGCATATATTATATTTACTGTGTTTATTTTGTGTGTTTCTTTCGCTTTTTTTTTTCCTTTAAATTACTTTTGGTATTTTGTAAGGTGTGTATTTTCATTCCATAGGTTACCTTTGTTTATTACTTTTTATAGTGCCTGAAATCTCCTCTATTTTTACCTAATGTTTTACTATCTGACATCAGCCTTACTTACACAACAGAGTGGTTGTATTCTATTTTCCTTTTTTTTCCCTGCTTTATCCTCTCATTTTTTAAATAAATTGAATCTTCTGATTTTTTTGTCAGACATGTGACCTCAGTCTCATTTTTGTCTCAGCAATAGAATATCTGTGAAATGCTCATTCTTTGGGAAACTCTGGACAAAGTTATTCCAGTAATTTTTTGGCTGGATGAAACTCATCCTCTCCTAGATTCCTCAGGAATACTACGTATGTGCAGCATTCTCTGAATACTGGCACATTCCAAACTATTTTTCCAGGGCCTTGGTATCTGAAAGTCAGCTTGGCTGTATACATTTTGGTTTACATTTTCTTTCCTTTAGTTTCTTGAAAATGGTGCTCTACTTGGCCTTACTTTGTTGTGCTGAGAAGGCTGATGCTGGTCAAATTCTATTGTCTTTGTAAGTTATTTGATCTTTTCACTTGGAGGCATGGTGCATTTTCCTATCTTTAAAGCCTAATACGTTTACTGGATATGTCATAGAGTTGATCTTTCGAGGTCAGATTTCCCTAGTACCCAATGAGAGATTCAGGTCTTCTTTTATTCTGGGAAGTTTTCTTGGATTATAGTTCTAAATATTAGTGTTGTTCAGTTGTTTTATTTCTTCAAGAAACTCTTTTACTTCCTTTCACTATTGTTGTCCTGGTTATGGCATTTTTTTCCCAATGCTTTTTTATCTGTCTGTATTTATAAACTTAGTTTTCATTTCTGATATGCTTTTGTCTTTTCCTATTTCTTTCCTAAGTTTTACCAACTCTCCTTTTACTTCTTCCTGCCTTTTTTTAAAATCAATTTCTATTCTTAGTTTTTTAAAAAATTTCTGATTTAAAGTGTTTTTTTGTAGTGGCAAATGCTTTGTTTAAGGATATTTGAGTTTGGAGTGTTATATTAGTTTTCTTCAGCTTTGTGGTCAAATTGTTTTGGAGAGTTTTTATCAGAAGGAAAACTTTAATTCATATTGTCTGATTTTTTACAGTAGTTTTGTAATAATGGGGACAGATTTAATTTTTTTTTTCCTATTCCTTTTTCTTTCACAGAAAGAGTTCTTAGTTCAACAGCACACTCTCCTGTGCAGTTCTTTATGGATCATGATTGTCATGGTGGAGGTAGATGGAAAGGACTGGTATGTATTGTTTCTCTTTCATTTCTGCATAATCTTTAATTTTCTCCTCTTATTTCCTTATTGCCTACTCTCCAAGGGATACCATCTTGTTTCTGTTCACTTGGTTATTCCCCAGAGACAATGATTTTCCAATGTTGCCACTTCTGGTTACACACTTCCTCAAGTCCTGGGAACCACCAACTACTATTCTGTGCTTAGAGTCTGGCATTCATTATTGCATTTTCTTTCTGGAGGTGATTTTATTTGAACTTTGTCTAATTGTTCTGTTTTTCCTAGTTCTTTTCCAGAGTCATTGAAGGCTTACCACCCCTGTTCTTTGTATTCTAGGTTTCACCACAGGCAAGCTGCAGGAGCTTGAAATTTTTTTATTCTATTTATATATATTTTCAAAGACGTGATGTTTTATGTCACAGTCATATTGAAGGCATGGGTTCTATGTGATTTTATTAGCTTTCTTTGTCAATTTTATGTTTTCTGGGGGGATGAAGTCAGGGAAATTCAAAATCAGTTGATTGTCAGTGATCTCTAGAAACGTTCTTTTATCTTTCTACTCTTAACAATATTTATTTGTATGTCTATTTCAAGATAATGCCACTGTATCTGTTCTGTTGTAAGCTGCCTAAAATTTTGTGAAGAACAATGCAGAGTAAAAATAAATTTTTACTTTTTAGTACTAAAAAATAAAAGTAGGGGCACCTGGGTGGCTCAGTTGGTTAAGCATCCGACTCTTGATACTGGCTCAGGTCATGATCTCCTGGTTCATGAGACTGAGCCCCATTTTGGGCTCTGGGCTAACAGTGCATCCAGTTGATATTCTCTCTCTTTCTCACTGCCCCTTCCTTGCTTGCATGTGTACGCACTCTCTCTCTCTCTCTTTCAAAATAAATAAATATACATTAAAAAAAAATGAAAGTAAAAAATCCTCTGCCTTGGAGGTTTCTTTTCTTCTTTTGTTTTTTTCTTTAATACAAAGAAGTATGAGAAACAGAAGAAAAGAAAAAGGGAAAATAAAAGGGTAAAACAATAGAATAGCAATGAGATTGGCCATTTCAGTCCATGGTTATCTGGTTTTGAAAGCAATTTCTTTGAGCAACAGTAGCAGGACTTCAGCACAGAAACAGCCTCTGAAAGTGATTGCCATTAAGATTTATGCTATTTTATACTATGTTACTCACATCTGTAAGCTCCAGGATATTACACAGCATCATTGCTATATACCTCATATGTTTATGCACTTACACATAAAACACACATATGTAATATATGCACTTACTTGTTTCACATTCTGGAGTTCTTCTGTCAACTGTTTCTTTTGCCTTTCTGATTCAAATAGTTTTTCCTATATTTAAAAACCACTGAATTAATAACATGTTATGAAGTACCAATGAGTATCATTCTTAGGGCTTTATTTCAACATTTATAAATTCTCCAAACATCCAATCGCTACAATCTGAAAGTAGTTCTCAGTCAGTTTTCTAGCTTTACACATACCATTCAAAAGTAATTAGTTATTTACAGTACAACTGTGATATAAATGCATTTCCTGTTAACTGTAAAGAGCCATTTTGTACACTCTCCACTTCTGAGCTCCAAAATAAATCCATCAAGATGAAAATGTGTAAATACTAACAAAATTTGGAAAAGGGCGATCATTACCCAGGCGCTTCCAAACTGAAGAGCATTACTGTTACATCTTAGAGGTAAAGGTCTCTTACCACACGAGAGGACATAAGAAATTGGATTGACTATTCTTTTCCTGATTTAGCTTGTACTTGGAAGATAATCCACAAAAATGAAGATATGGCTACCATAACCAAACTACAAAATAATAGTTACTAATGTAGAATATGCATGCAAATTAAATACTATCATCTTTTAACATTAACTTAAGCACATACTCTAAAACATTCAGTGTTTTAAAAATATATCATAAATAAATCCACATTTTATTGATCAAATCAAAAATACTCAGAGTAATTTAAGGACCATTTTACTATAAACTTGGGCAGAGGAACTGCTTGAAGATTAAGTTGAGTGGTAAATATTCATGGCAACATTGCAATGTTTATAAGAAGCATTCTGCTTCCTGGTATATTTCAGCTCATTCTTATCTAACAGATGAAATGAGGGTGTATGAAGATGAATATCATATAGCAATCTAATGAATCTGCCACAGGCCGGGAGCCAGGAAACTGCTGGCTCTCATGCTTTGATGCTCTAGCAACTCACCTTCACTCTGTGTCCTACTTTTTTTGCATCTGTAAATGGAAAATACATCTATTTTCATTCAGCTTTGCAAACCAGTAGCAATCTAAACTTTGTAGGGAGATGGCTTCAAGTTAAATAAAGAACACAGCACTTTTAAAAATCATTCTTGTAAAATAAAGAAAAAAGTAGCCACTGGCATCAACTTATCTTGGTTTCGTTTTTATTTGTATTGTACCTCAAGTCAGAGATGAAGGATAGAGATGTCACAGGATAACGGCAAGTGACTAGAGAGCACCTACACATTCTGTGAACTGCATTTAACAACCTCTGTCTTTTGTGTGTGTGTGTGTGTATAACACAAGTAAAAATACTGAAGGTACAAATGTTACCTCAATGAAGTATTTATTGCTTTGTACACTCTGTATGGCCAAACAAGTGGTTCTCAGCCACTAGGTTTCCAGGTAAAGTAAATTATAAAATACAGAATATGCTTTATCTGAGATTTCAGGTCGTATCACATTAGGGTATGTTCAGTTACGTTTTACAGACATTAAACGCGAATCCTGATTTATTGAATAGCTATTTAGGGAAGCCCTGTTTAAATATTATCTAAATACACTTTTAAATTAAAATTCTAATAATTAATACTGATATTCAAATAAAAACTGAAATATATCACTAAACAATGATAAATATTAAGAAAATGAAAAAAGACTTGAGAGCCTCTCAAAATTCTAATGAACCATAAGATTAAATGGCTTACAGACAGATAAATTATGTAAGATGATATTTTACCAAGATAACCATTGTTGGAGATGTTTTCAAAGAGAATATGAGGAAATATTGTCAATTTATTCTTAAAGCTAAATTTGTATTTTTTCATTTTGTGACTCTTAACTGTTATACCAACAAATGTAGAAGTGGTTTCAAAGTTGTAAAAAAGTCTATAAATATTCCTTTAGTAATGGAATGTTCATACACACTTGGAAGGAACATGAGTTGGTAAAATCTTTTGAAGGGTAATTTGGTAGCATGCATAAAATTTTATGTGACATATCCTTTGATAAAGCAATCTGACTTTCAGAAATATTCAATTTGTATTTTTAAAATTGTAGAAATTACTCAAAGATACAACTACAAAGCTATTTATGAAGGAATTATTTTTAATTTTTTTAAAGTTTATTTATTTTTATATTTTTTTAATGTTTTTATTTATTTTTGAGAAAGAGAGAGAGAGAGAATGAGCATGGGAGGGGCAGAGAGAGGGAGACACAGAATCTGAAGCAGGCTCCAGGCTCTGAGGTGTCAGGACAGAGCCTGACGTGGGGCTCAAACTCATGGACGGTGAGATCATCACCTGAGCTGAAGTCGGACGCTCAACCGACTGAGTCACCCAGGCGCCCCAAGTTTATTTATTTTTGAGAGAGAAAGAGACAGAGTGTGAGTGGGGGAGAGACAGAGACAGAGAGAGAGAGAGAGAGCAGACACAGAATCTGAAACAGACTCCAGGCTCTGAGCTGTCAGCACAGAGCCTGACACGGGGCTCAAACTCTGAATGGCGAGATCATGACCTGAGTGGAAGTTGGACACTAAACCAACTGAGCCACCCAGGCACCCCTGAAGGAATTCTTTTTAATAGTGGAAAACTGGAAACAGCTTAAATATTCATCTATAAGGAACTGGCTAGAAAACTTAGGACAGAACCATTTGATGGCAGAAGAGCCATTGGGGAGAATTTGGCAGATATGCACATATTAACTTGAAAAGTAGCCTAAAATATAAAGCTAACAGGGGTGCCGGGGTGGCTCAGTCAGTTAAGCATTTGACTCTTGATTTCAGCTACTTGATTCCACAATTTGTGGGTTGGAGCCCTGTGTTGGACTCTGTGCTGACAGCATGGAGCCTGCTTGGGATTCTCTCTCTCTTCCTCTCTCTCTCTGCCCCTCTCCTGCTCATGCTCTCTCTCAAATTCAATAAATCGACTTAAAAAAAAGAAGATATAAGGCTAACAAGAGAGGGGAAAAAAAGAAAGCAAGCTGTAAAAAAGTGTGCAGTGTGTGAAGAAATTAATGTTAAAGTTAAAACACACATATACATTTATTTTTAGAAATATAATTGGCTGTATAGAAAAAGGCTCTCGGGATGCCTGTGTGGCTTAGTTGGTTAAGCACCTGACTTCAGCTCAGGTCATGATCTCACGGTTTGTGAGTTCGAGCCCCGCGTCGGGCTCTGTGCTGACAGCGCAGAGCCTGGAACCTGCTTCAGATTCAGTGTCTCCCTCTCTCTCTGCCCCTACTCTGCTCATGCTCGCTCTGTCTCTGTCTTTCTCTCTCTCTCAAAAATAAACAAACATTAAAAAAAATTAAAAAAAAAAGAAAAAGTCTCTAAAAGGATAAACAAGGTATGTTTAACAATGGCTTCCTCTAGAAGTTGGAGTTTAAATACTAAGGTAGGAAAGAAATTTCTTCCTTTTTTAAGGTGAGGTGTAAAGATTTCAGTTTAATAAAAATTAAATAAACATAGATTTTTACTTATTTCAGAAAATAAAGTAAAATAATTGAAAAAAACATATTCCTATGGTGAATTAATCATGAATCAAGTAGTTATAGTGCTTTTCTTAAAGACTTGGAAAATCTAATGTATTTCTGTAAAAATTAGGATATAATTTAATATTCTACAAAAAACAAAATGAAAATATGTAAAATGAATCAAAATCTTAAAGTATATTTGGGCACACTGTATGTCTATTCTTCTCGTAATCATATTGCTTTAATTCCAAATTATGTTACCAAAACAAGAGGTCTCTGAAGCATGTATTTTCCATGGGAAAAAAGTATTTCCAATGAACATCTAAGGGATCCAAAATTGTCATGGCTTGCTTTGTTGACTCATCTAATCTTTGTTGGCTTCTCATCCTTGCCACCAATATGAGAACAAAAAGGGGCAGAAGTAGCCAGATCAGAAGGTATGAGCAAAAACCAGTCTACCCTGAATCTTATATGGACATGGTGAAATATAAATAAGTATGTGAACCAAAAAGTTGACTATTTAAAGGCCTATTGACTAAATAAATGATCTATTTCGTGATATTAACAGTTTTTGCAATATTAATTTTATTTATAATATTACAAGCATTAATATCATACATTTGATAATTTACTTATAATAAATACAATAATTTTCTTCCTTTTCTTTTTTTCTAAGCAAAATGTAAGGAGGCGAAATTGGAGATTACCTTGAGTGTATTCACTTCCTCCAAGGCATCATTTCTTTCACGCTTAAGCCTTTCCATTTCATCTGCCTCTAAGGAATCACAGGGAAGAAGCTGTCAACATTAAAATACAAGAAAAAAGTTATGCATTAAATGCTAATTATGAGAACTAGCATGAAAATCCTTTTTGACGAGTGTTAAGCTTTTGCATTTTAATAACAAAATTTGGTTTCTTTGGAGTCATTTGATTAGATGAAAGAGAATATTAAAGCAACCTGGGGAAACTTGATTTAAGCCTAACTTCACATTGTTGTTATTTATAACAGAATCTAGATGATTATAACATATACATAGCCTGTTGTCCTCTTTATGATTGTTTCAACAATATAATTTCCCTTAAAAGTCCAAATTCTAAGACTATGTTTATAATGTCAAAAAGACGTTGAGTTATTGACATAAACTCTTCCCCAAAGACATCCACGCCAAGTACATGGTATATAAGGCTAACAAAAGGCTGGACATTATCAACCAAGATGGTTTATGTAAACCCAGTAAAGTTCATTAATCGATGATATGTCTTGTTTTAACTAAATAAAATGCAATATTAACAGCCAAGCAGCTTAAAAAGATCCCTGCACAGAAATTGTGGATTGAAAGTAATATTAATAATTCATGCACAAGTGAATAACAACAACAACAAAATACCAGAGATGACAATTTCTCTTCTCTTACTGCTAGCATGATCTCTTTGACAGTTAATTACAAGGTAAAAAACAATGACAATCTAATCAGAGACGAAAATCCAAGTCTAATTACAGCCATCTTGTATGTATAAATTATAACAGAATAAAAAAAGTATAGAAAATATAATTTAAAGGACTATGTGGAAAAACTGATTGCTCTTATAAGAATGGGCTTAAGGTAGGGCCTTTCAGAGAGGAGAGGTAAATACAAAAGATCATAAAAATAATTAATAATGTCACCATTTATTATGAACTTACTGTGTGCAGATACATTGCTAAGGACTATATATATATTCAAAGTTATATCCTTCCTATAACCTTGTCTCCATTTAACTGAGGAGGAAACGGGCCCAAAAGGTAAGCAGCTTGCTTAAACTTTCACAGCTAATAATGGCCACCTCATGATTCTCATAGAGATCTGACTTTAGTCATTAGTCTGTGATTTTTACTAACTGCCTAACAGAAATCCTGGTGGAATGGATATAAGAAATTCAGGTTTAATTTTAAATGATAGAATAACTGAAGTAGGAGTCATCCCTCAATTTTAGGGAGAAACATTTTCCTAAACAAACATCCTAAGCATTTCCTAAACATTTTGTCCTGACAATTACCTTTAGGTATGTATGGCCATTTGTTTTCATCATCTCATATCCTTCATCTGTCTCTGTTATTCTACTCTTTTGTGAGTACTCAACACACACTCAAAGAATTCATTCTTATACTATTTAGAATAGTTTTTGATACATATTCAAATGTAACAATATTTCTCAAAGCTCATTCCAAAGGATATTAACTAGTTTTGTACAAAAGCAAAACTGAGTGGTGGTGATGGTGGTACTGGTCCCTGTGGCCAGGTAAGTTGGAGAAATGTAGGATTTAGAAAAAATGAACTTTCCCGCAGAGCTTCCAACATCCTTAATACTCTAATGAGCATTTTGAATATCCCAAAAGGAAATAAAATTTAATAACTTGTTGCATTTCCTCAAGTTATTTGACCATATCCCCAACCACCACACCTTTATTTATTTTGGGACATCTCAGTGGACTAATGCCTGCAAAAGCACAAAGTGTTCTGGGAAACACTGCTACTCAACATTCAGATAAGCCTATTATGTCTTGCGTGTTATCTAAGACATGAGATACACAGAATTCAAAAGCTTAAATAAGAATCTAGATAACACAACTATATCAATTTATTAAGAGAAATTATAGGTTGGCGTTTTAGGGATACGATTATAAACTTGTGAGCTTAAAATATGGAGGCAAATCATGAATAAAAGAGCCCATGGTACCATTTTAGGAGGTAAAATGCTAGCCCAAATAGTCATAGAACAAACCATGACTCAAAAACAAAAAAACAAACAAACGTGCTATAATCCTATTGCTATTTTAGGCTAAGCAGTGAAAACCTACAGCCAGAGAATTGGCCATAGATGTTACCTGTGAATTCTTTGAAAAACCTCTTCGTGCTCAGTCATGTGTTAAGAGTTTGAGTATCTTCAACTGAGCAAGCAACAGATGAAATGAATTGTTTCTATTTAACTTCAAATGATTTCAGACAGATAACTGTTTTCTTTCCTTTTTTTTTTTTTTTAATGTTCACTTATTTTTGAGAAAGAGAGAGAATGAGTGGGGAAGAGGCAGAGAGAGAGGGAAACACAGAGTTTGAAGCAGGCTCCAGGATCTGAGTCGTCAGCACAGAGCCGGATGTGAGGCTCGAACTCACGAACTACGAGATCATGACCTGAGTGGAAGTCGGACGCTTAACCAACTGAGCCCCCCAGGCACCCGAAGACAGAGAACTGTTTTCTAACCTGCTTCCAATTCTTGGGCTTTATCCTTCCCTTCCTCCATTCCTTTCCTGTCTGGCTCTCACAGTATCATTTGTGATCCTCAGGCTGTCCCCCTCTGAAACACCTGGTAGATAACACCATAAGTCATTTCCACTCTATTCTGGATAGCCACCATTCCATTCCAACACTCAATTCATTCCAACACTCAATTCATCTTCAATAGAACAATGTCTGCTTCAGGTCAATTTTATTGATAAAGCCTTCCACTAGAAACCAAGTCAATTACCTCCTTTCCTTAAATTTCTGTATATTTCCCTATTTCCTCCTTCCTTTCTCTTACTCCTTTACTTCTTTTTTTTAATGTTTTATTTTTATTTTTGAGAGCGAGTGAAAGCAAAGGAGGGGCAGAGACAACGGGAGACAGAGGATTTGAAGTGGGCTCTATCTACACTGACAGCAGAGAGCATGATGCTGGGTTTGAACTCATAAACCTTGAGATCATGACCTGAGCTGCAGTGGGACACTTAACTGACTGAGCCACCCAGGCGCCCCACTCCTTTACTTCTAATAATCTGGTTTACATATATTTCTTCCCATCCGTACATTTTGAAAATAATTTATGTTCCATGTCACCAATAAACCTAGTATTTGACAAAATAAATGCACTCCCCCATCAACTTTCTTAACCTCCTTTCCTTCATGTAACATTGCTTAAGCCATTTGTCCTTGACACTTTCTCTTCCCTATGTTTTTGATTTCCCACTATCTCACCTGCCCTTCAGAATATTTAGGCTGCTTCTAATAATTTCATTCTACTCCTTAAGTGGGAGTGGAGGAGGTTCCGCAAAGTGTGTCCCTTTCTCCCTTTCTCGCTCTCCCTGAGTGAACACTTCAACTATCATCCTCCAAATCCCTCTCTGTGTCTAGTTCCTTATTTCCAGTGACCTTTTGGTCACTTACACCTGTCAGCATATTGAACTTACTCTCCAAAATCCAACTATCATCTTCTCCACTGTTCTCATTTCCCTATTTCTGTCAATAGCACCACCCTACTATTATTCATCATCCTAATCAAAACTCTGCAGTTAGCTTTAATTCATTCTTCCTTATTTCTTACACTCAAATGCAAGTCTTAATGATGATATACTTGTTGTTGGTAAATTATCATATATCTGTCTCTCCATTCTTCCCATTTTCCTCACCTTCATTCTTTAGTTCTTAATATTCTATATTTGGACTCTTTCCTTTGTGCCCTATCTAGGCTACCTATGACCAGTTTCATTACCTTCCAAGATAACCAACACTACTATAAGATTATTATTTCTAAACTATCAATTTTGATTGTGTCACTATTCTCCCTAATGGCTCCTCACTGACTACGAGTAAGGTACAAACTTCTAAGTATAATATTTACATTTTTAGGCCTAACTTCCTTCACTGATCTGCATGTACCTGCTTATCTTTTTATTTAAAAATTTTTTTTTCAACGTTTATTTATTTTTGGGACAGAGAGAGACAGAGCATGAACGAGGGAGGGGCAGAGAGAGAGGGAGACACAGAATCGGAAACAGGCTCCAGGCTCTGAGCCATCAGCCCAGAGCCTGACGCGGGGCTCGAACTCCCGGACCACGAGATCGTGACCTGGCCGAAGTCGGACGCTTAACCAACTGCGCCACCCAGGCGCCCCTTATCTTTTTAAAAAAGTAGATTACTCTAGGGGCACCTGGATGGCTTAGTCGGTTAAGCATCTGACTCTTGATTTTGACTCAGGCCATGATCTCACATTTTTGCGAGTTTGAGCCCCACATCAGGCTCTGTCCTGACCCTGCTGGGCCTGCTTGGGATTCTCTCTCTCTCTCTCTGCCCCTCCCCAGCTTGCACACTTTTCTCTCAAAAATAAAAAACTTCCAAAAAAAAAAAAAGGTATATTACTCTGTTTACCATCACATTATGTATATATTTTTATTCATGCTAATTCTCTTATTACTTTCTGTTCACCTCTTAAGTAGATAAAACCCTACATATCATTTAAAACTCACTCAAAAGTTAACTCTGTTAGGAATCTTCTCTGAATATTCTAGGCTCTATCATAACTATGGTCTTACCATGTAGTGCTAGAGCTTGTTTAAAATCTATTTATGTACATGACTTTCCTTGCGCAATACTTTAAATTCCTTGAGGGACAGGCTTAAGTTTATTTATTTTAATAATGTGCTGGAGCAGCTAACACAATGCCATCCACACTATAGTTGTTCAATATATATTTAATGTTTTGCAGATGAAATATAATGAAGTGGCTATAAAGTACATACTGTCACACATAGTGAGACATACCTTTTATATCATGACCTCACTATAAGTGAAACATTACTCACTCTTATATAAATTTACAATTGTATTTCCAATTGTATTCTCTCACCTGTTTAAGTAGGGGTACAATGCACTAAATGGATTTAGTAAGAAACCAAATTGTAAAAAGTCTTCATTAGGGAACATATAGTATTCTGTATGTGTGTGGTAAACCCATCATATTATGATAGACCATAGTCTGCTGTTGCTAAGGTTAGAGTTCTGTTAA